TTTTCTCCATTTTGGCGCTAGTGATTTTCCTTCTAAAAATTCTTTTAAAAAATGCTTCAAAATCGCCTTTTTTTCGCTCTGGCATCAAGATCCGGTTTTGAAGCTACAAATTCCGACGCCGTTGCGCGTAGTTCTATTGTGTTTTGCAACTCAGTCGCTGCAGATCGCATTGTAGTGGCTGCGTCAAGGTTGCTTCCTGCTTTGGATGCATGGGTAATACTATTGTCTTTTGCAGCTGGACTTCGTAAATCGTATTGGAGTGGCTGCATGAAGGCTGCGACAGTGATTTGTCATCAGATTTTCTCTATTTTGGGGCTAGTGATTTTCCTTCTAAAAATCCTTTTAAAAAGTGCTTCAAAATCGTCTTTTTTTCGCTCTGGCGTCGAGATCCGGTTTTGGAGCTACAATTTCCGACGCCGTTGCGCGTAGTTCTATTGTGCTTTGCAACTCAGTCTCTGCAGATCGCATTGTAATGGCTGCGTCAAGGTTGCTTCTTGCCACGGCTGCATGAATAATACTATTGTCTTTTGCAGCTGGACTTCGTAAATCGTATTGGAGTGGCTGCATGAAGGCTGCGACATTGATTTGTCAGCAGATTTTCTCCATTTTGGCGCCAGTGATTTTCTTTTTAAAAATTCTTTAAAAAAGTGCTTCAAAGTCGTCTTTTTTTCGCTCTGGCGTCGAGATCCATCCGGTTTTGGAGCTACAATTTCCGACGCCGTTGTGCGTAGTTCTATTGTGTTTTGCAACTCAGTCTCTGCAGATCGCATTGTAATGGCTGCGTCAAGGTTGCTTGGTGCCGCGGCTGCATGCGCAATACTATTGTCTTTTGCAACTGGACTTCGTAAATCGTATTGGAGTAGGTGCATCAAGGGTTCGACAGTGATTAGTAGTAGTGCTGGGAATTGACTAATGAAAGCTTAATAGATGACATATGAGAAGGGACGAAATGAGAAGAGATGAGCTGGGATAAGGTGAGAAGAGCTCAGATGAGATGAACTGTGGAGTGTGAAGAGTGTAGTGTGAAATGTGGGGCGTGAAGAGTGCAGTGTGAAGTGTGAAGTGTGAAGTTTGGAGTGTGAAGGAAGCAGTGAGAAGTGAGAAGTGTGAAATGTGGAGTGTGGAGTGTGAAGTTTAAGTTTGGAGTGCGAAGAGTGAGTGTGAAGTGTGAAGTGTGTGAAGACTGCAGTGTGAAGTGTACAGTGTGAAGGAAGCAGTGGGAAGTGAGAAGTGTGAAGTGTGGAGTGTGAAGTTTAAGTTTGGAGTGCGAAGAGTGAGTGTGAAGTGTGAAGTGTGAGGTTTGGAGTGTGAAGGCAGCAGTGAGAAGTGAGAAGTGTGAAGTGTGGACTGTGAAGTGTGGAGTGAGAAGTGTGAAGTTTGGAGTGTGAAGGAAGCAGTGAGAAGTGTGAAGTGTGGACTGTGAAGTGTGAAGTGTGAGTGAAGTGTGGAGGGTGAAGTGCGAAGTGAGAAGTGTGAAGTGTGAAGTTTGGAGTGTGAAGTTTGGAGTGGGAAGGAAGCAGTGAGAAGTGAGAAGTGTGAAGTGTGGACTGTGAAGTGTGGAGTGTGAAGTGCGAAGTGAGAAGTGTGAAGTTAGGAGTGTGAAGGAAGCAGTGAGGAGTGTGAAGTGCGAAGTGAGAAGTGTGAAGTGTGAAGTTTGGAGTGTGAAGTGTGGAGTGCGAAGTGAGAAGTGTGAAGTGTGAAGTTTGGAGTGTGAAGGAAGCAGTGAGAAGTGAGAAGTGTGAAATGTGGAGTGTGAAGTGTGAAGTGTGAAGTGCGAAGTGAGAAGTGTGGAGTGTGAAGTGTGAAGTGTGAAGTGTGGACTGCGAAGTGTGAAGTGTGAAGTGTGGACTGTGAAGTGTGAAGTGTGAAGTGTGGACTGTGAAGTGTGAAGTGTGAAGTGTGGCCTGTGAAGTGTGAAGTGTGCAGTGTGAAGTGTGAAGTGTGAAGTGTGAGGTTTGGAGTGTGAAGGAAGCAGTGAGAAGTGAGAAGTGTGGAGTGTGAAGTTTGAAGTTTGGAGTGCGAAGAGTGCAGTGTGCAGTGTGAGGTGTGGAGTGTCGAGGGAAGGACACGGTCGGGACAGGGTGTCTTTGAACTATAGGTCATTTATGTTTGGGAAACTTCCGCCGCCGGCTTGCCCGGGTCTATGTTATAAAATATAACTATTATAAATGATACCCTCCGGTGTCATCAAACACGGCAACTTGAAAAACTATATAAATGGAGGTTTGTATTATATATATATATAGTAGGAAACTCATCTATATTCCATTACCATGTTTGATTACCAGAGGGTATAGTTGATTTTCCCATTAAAAACTTATTAAAACCTCAATTCATAGTGGATACTCCCATTAAATTCCTGTTAATAGTAAATTTTCCCACTGGTTGGTGGTTTCAACCCCTCTGAAAAATATTAGTCAGTTGGGATGATTATTCCCCATATATATATATATATATATACATATATAATATATATATATATAATATGTATATAATATATATAAAATATATATATATATATAATATATATATAATATATATATATGGGAAAAATGTTCCAAACCACCAACCAGTAATAGTAGATTTTTCCCAGCTTAAAACCTCAAGATTCGGGACTTTTTTTTCAAGCGCATCAGCTGAGGTCGGTGTCACGTCTAGGACGGATCTTCCTCATCCTCTGCAGTGCTTTCCTCGGCCAGGCTTTTGGGGCTCCCAAATTAGGCGTTTGGTCATGTTTTACCCTTCTGGTAAACTAAGATAACTGTCCTATATGCAACCCATGGTGCTGGAATATGAATGCCAACATTTACCCTAAAAATCACCCAGCTATGTAGGTAAATATACCATACATGGAGCATATGGGTATGGAAAATCACCGGTAAATACAGGTAAATCAACTCTAAATGGGCGATTGTCAAGTTCGCAAACTGTTAGTTTGCAAACCATCTGCTAAGCATCAAACATCAAGGGGATTTAACAGCAACACTAACACGGTTCTCGGTTCTCGGTTTCATTTGGGGTGGATCTAATCTTGTGGAGAAGGGATCATGGGTGTGGAGATCTGGTATTTCATGATATCCCCATGACCTACCGATGTTCGCTCCGATAAGTTCGCAGAAAACCACCATGAAAAAATAGTAGGCCATCATCGAACAAAGGAGGGACCATGTTCAATAGCATATATAGCTATGTAAGCCATAGATGGCGATGTAACAAATGACCGAACTGCTGGTATTTTTCCCCGCCTGCCAGGTGAGGGTTCTTAGATTTTATCAGAGTTGTTCTCCTCCTCCTCCTCCTCCTCCTCCTCCTCGGCTAGCTGTCCTCCTCCTCGTCCTCGTCCTCGTCCTCCTCCTCCCCCTCCTCCTCCAGTTTCTCCTCGACCATGTCTGCATCAACTTCCACCTGCACTTCCGCCTTGCCAACTCTTCGCCAAGCTCTTTGCCAACTTCCCAGCACAGTGTGCACCGCTGGACCTCAACCTGGGACCTTCCCAGCTCAGTGTGCACCGCTGGACCTCAACCTGGGACCTTCCCAGCTCAGTGTGCACCGTTGGACCTCAACCTGGGACCTTCCCAGCTCAGTGTGCACCGCTGGACCTCAACCTGGGACCTTCCCAGCTCAGTGTGCACCGCTGGACCTCAACCTGGGACCTTCCCAGCTCAGTGTGCACCGCTGGACCTCAACCTGGGACCTGCCCAGCTCAGTGTGCACCACTGGACCTCAACCGGGGACCTTCCCAGCTCAGTGTGCACCGCTGGACCTCAACCTGGGACCTGCCCAGCTCAGTGTGCACCGCTGGACCTCAACGGCCAGAATGAATGCCAGAAGATATGCCAGATAAAATGCTATGAGATATGCCAGAACATAAGCCAGAAGATATGCCAGATAGAATGCCAGCAGATATGCCAGAAGATGTGCCAGAACATATGCCAGAAGATATGCCAGATAGAATGAATGCCAGATAGAATGCCAGAAGATATGTCAGATAGAATGCCAGAAGATTTGCCAGTAAGAAAATGTATAAATGTCATGGTAGGGATCACACGAAGTAAAGTAATTTGTTCCATTTTTTGAAAAAAGACGTGATTTCTATTAGGGATAATCTTCCAGCAGATTTCGCCAAGAATCCCAGGTTTCAGCATACCACTTAATGAACTCGTTCAGTGACACCTGGCCTCGGCTCCAACAAGCTGCCTCTCCGCGCCCGGAATTTTCGGCGTGCTCATGGTTGCTTGGTATATCTAATAAGTTGTGATTGCTTTAAAACCAGAGTTTAAAGCCATAAAATGGATGTAAACTATAACATAAAAATCCCATTGAATTCCATGAAACCATCATTTTTGTCAGTGAATATCCCATCTTCTGTTAATTTTCGGAGTTTTTTCAACCAATTTAGCGAGGGCCACGTGACAAGATGCTGCGACTGATGTCGCGACGCCCATGGGGCTACAGGCGAGCCTGTGCTTGCTTGATGTTCATGGGGAAATTGTAGGGACTATTCGGGACTAACTTTATCAACATTTTATGGTATTTTAAGTAAACATCTACAGGAATCTATGGTTTCATTTCAGAACCATGAAGAATGATGATGTTCTTGCAAAGTTTCCCTTGATCTGAGTTTCAGGAAAATGCTATATAGTTGCAGATGTACATGTATATAGATACATGTATTTAAATATGTATTTGTTCCATCTTTCACCTCCATTTCCCTCTCCATTCCCCCCACAATAGCTACCCTTCACCCGTGGCTTTGACCTCCGTAGTTTTGCTGTCGGTTTCCCGTCGATTTCCCTGACAAGATACCATCGCCATTGGTGTCCACCTGTTCTATGACTTTCTCATAGCACTCCTCACGGGCCATGGTGTTCCTGGAGCCTTCTGAGGCACCAAGGGAAACGTGGCTGAACTGTCAAAAATTGTTAAAGGATCTGTATGAAACTTGTCTTGCTGGGTCTCAAAACTGGCTTAAGTGAAATGTGGCTCAACATTTAAGGTATACCTCCCACAAACTTCAACAAATGCCAATCATAACGCAGAACATGCTGATGGACAAATGGAATTGTGACATTGTGGAATGCCTATTTTTTTCAGACATGCCAAGATCATATGCTTGTCCACAGCATGCTACAGTACATATGCCATGATATCCCATCAAAGACGTAAAATACTGTGGATGGTTGCGAAATCCTGCGCCAGTTAGTAACTCTTGGGATTTCTATGAAACACTGCAAATCATAAGATGACACCAGGATAAACCATCTAAAAAAACATCCATATATCTACCATTATCTGATACAGGATTTCGCAATCATCCACAGGATCGCCATATTTCTGGGTAAATTATCATAATTTACCAACCTGAATCTTGCGGCCATGAATGGGGATGATTTCCCCTACTAACCACCCATATTTGATCATTGAAAATGGCCATTTATAGTGAATTTTCCCATGAAAAATAGTGTTTTTCCATAGTTTTTTGTATGTTTACCATAGAGGTTTACAGCCCCATACGTTGCGTCACCTCAATCTCCCCCCCATCGCCCAGCGCTGGTCGCTGCAGTCCGTCACTTCACCCTGTTCCACCAAGATGTCGTAGAGCGGTCGAAAGGCTTCGACCGAGAGATAGCCTGGAACAGAAGCAATAATAAGGGCATTCCATTGAAAAATAGATGATAACTCCATAGGATGTGTTATATTACAGTACAAGTCAGTATAAGTGTTATAGATTATAGATGATAATAACAATTGAAAAATACGCCCTGGTAAATTAACAGTTGGACCCTGAAAATCACCATTTTTTAATGCAAACTAGTCTTCCAACCCCGATGACTGCCAGGGTCTATGTTAATTTACCTGAGGGTAGATGATTACTCCATAGGATGTGTTATATAAGTTTAAGTGTTATAGATTGTAGATGATAATAATAATAATCCTTGATTACTCTATTGATTATGATGATAACTCCATTACCATGATCATAATCAATAATTAATTAGATGATAAATAATAGATAATATCATCAAAAATAATAGTTAGTTTTTTATTTTGTATTTGTCAATATCAATGTATTTGATGGTCAGGTGGATGACGGTACCCGAATTCCATTCATAATGTATGATCAATACTTGATGGTGATTTACCACATGAATAATCATCACTAATACTGTGATGATAACATGATGGATGTACTTACATTAACACAAATTAACTCCATTACCCCAGGAAGCCTGTAGTCAATGGATGATACTTACAATGGATGGTGACAACTCCATTACAAAGCGCGATGTTTTTTCATGAATTGTCCCATTTTTTTCACAGAAGTTTCTTGCAATCATGAAAATCCCAACCCGCGGATGCCCAATGATGACATGTCCATGTAGAGACACACATATATATATATACATATTGAAGATATAATAAAGGATAATAAAGGCTAGTATGACCTGATATGACCGGAGAAGATCATCAGAGGTTTAGCCACCGCTCATCTGAGTGGCTCTACAAGTTACGTCCCTTTTCAGCAACTTGGACTGGGTCAGATTGGAGTATGGTATGTTCCACTTATTAATCACAATTTCACTTACCCTCTGGTAATTTAACATAGCTATGGAAAATCACAATCTTTAATAATTAAATCATGGAACTACTTGGTTCATTTTCGATAGCAAACTGTTAGTTTACCGGAGGGTAAATTCCTAGCTGGCAGGATCAAAATGTATTCACTCACTTACACTAAATTTTAAATAACCCACTAACGAACTATATAATCCATCCGAAAAAAATGGCGAACTTGATTATCATACCCTGTGCCAATCCTATGTGAAAAGTAGTTCCTGGGGAGTGATCTCTATTTTCTCTGTTCTCATCAAAACAGCTGGGATTAATAGATGATGGCTTGGTTTTACCACCCATCCGCACATCCCATTCATTATATTCTTGGTTAAATATCCAGTATATCCGAAATTGCATCCCAAAGTACATCCCCATTGCCCAACTCTCAATACCAATGATGATTAATTAATCGTAATACCATTTATATACATTAATCCCAATGCGGGGGGTCTATATACATATGTATGTCTGAATATACGTATGTATATATATATATATATATACATAGTGTTATACACATAGTCTGTTTTATAAATGTGTATACACATATGTATATATATATATATAAATTAATCAGAAAGGGGTGTTGTGAGCGCTAAAAAAACGAAATTTTGGGGATATATAGCCTTGATACTATGGATGGTTTCATGGTTTTTTTGCGCTCACAACAGCCTGTGTAAGTTAATATGTATACATATTGCATATCATACATATGAATACATATTATATATATATATATATAATCCACGCAGTTACAGTTCCGTAGTCCATCTCCCAGCGCGCGGCGCAGCGCCTTTCAGCTCCCAGTCGTAGCCGCGGAAGAAGTCCCCGACCTGCGCCGCGTCCAAAACTGGGAAGATGCCCTTGGCATCGCCGGGAAAACAAGGGAAAACAAGGAAAAACAACGGGAAAACATGGGAAACATGGGGAAACATGCGGAAAACTTGGGGAAAAACACTGGAAACCATTGGGCAAAACAATGAATGGAACAGCATGAGAAATACTGAAAAAAACATTCAAAAAACATTGGGACCAACTGGAAAACATGGAATACAATGGGGAAGAATTGAAATCGTAGGAAACTTTGAAAACTTATAAAATGTAAAACAAATCATAAAATGTGGGTTTGAAACCCCAAAATAATAAGTTAATGAAATTAGAAACACTGAGAGACAGAACAACATCCTTTGGAAAACTGGTAATGTGTGTCTGTGTGTGTTCAAAGGACAAGTGGGGACAACAGTTAGTTATATACCATATAATTTAGCAATGACTTTAATAATCTGTCATAATGAGTTAATACAGTGAAATGAAAACATGCTTCTAGAAATATGAGATCTGGTCTGGTATTGATATATCAACTGCAAAATAAACTGTGGCTTTTAAGACAATTTTAGTTTGTGTATGATATTCGCATCGATATGTCATGGGGACAGTGTTCCACATAGTTTCTTGGGTGACCAAAACGTCCGAATCCCCTCGTTTGCTGTTTGAAAACAGCCAAACGCTTCAAATTACCAATAAGGGGTCTTGACCTAGAACCTATATAGCTAAATATATGTGTCCCCACAGGAAATTCTGGTGATTTGGAACTTAAATGTGTGGATAGAGGTAGGATGGTAGGATTGGCAAAAACCAAGGGCTCCACTCCATGGACTGTTTGCCACCATTTACCCCTTCATGGTCCAATCATTAATCTGGTTGGTGGTTGACCTACCCCTCTGAAAAATATGAGTTCGTCAGTTAGGATTAATATTCCCAACATATGGAAAGTCATAAAACATGTTCCAAACCACCAACTAGTAATTTATGGTACACCCTTCACATCCCATGGAGCATACGCAGGGTGCGCCTGTCGGATGTAGTCTGAATGTTCATCACTGGCCTCGGCAGTTTTTCGAAGATCCAATCAAAGTCAGTTCCAATACCAGGGATGGGTCACGTCACCTTGTAGCCCTGTAGTTCACATCAAAATAGCTGGGATTTATGGAGCTTCATTCTCCTAAAAATGGGAAATTTTTCAGGTATTGATCCATGGCCATTTTTTTGGGGGGGCTTCCAATCACATCCCAAGTTGCCGTGGCTTGAAAAGTGTACGATTCTCAGGAGATGATCGAGATTGGACCGACCAAAATGCAGATCATTCCAAGACATTAAAAAAACAAAGACACACAATTGGAATTATTGGAATGAACACCCAAATGGATAATTACCTAACATTATTAATTAACACATTAGACAGATTATACATCAATGTTAACATTAATGAACTCAGATATTGATTTAAGTCTGAACATCCAAATTCCATGGATTTCCCCAGAAATTCCTCTATAAAATTGCCATTTTTATTGGGGATATAACATATCCGATTGGGAGATTGAAGATCCGACGGTGTGGGACTCCTACAGCTGCCTCTCTTCCAGTAAGGTTTGACATGAAATCAATGGTTAATAGTTAATAACCATCATTTATAATGGGTAATAAAGGTTTAACCGTCATTTACAATGGTTAATATTGGTTTATAATGGTATATAGGGATACAGTTATACTATGGTGTTTGTAATGGCTATAGTTATATAATGATATGTTCCTTGACTTTCAAATTTAATTGATTTCCAATAAACGATCTTCCAGATCAAGGCTCTTCTGCTGATAGTCTTTAGTGGGATGTGAAAAATCAACCGTCAATCGTCATGATTTTAACAACCATCATTTTTTTTGGGAGAAGACTTCGTTCCAGAGTGTTTTTATTGGGGTGTCATTTAACCGTTATAAACCAACTATAACCAACTTATCATTGAGATAGCCCCAAAAATTGTAGATGGCGGTCCAGATTCGCTAGCGTTTTATCATGGCAGGAATCCCAACGTTTTTTTGATCATTTCTCTTAGCAAAGCCAACGTTTTCAATGCTAGCAAACATGATGATTTATGTGATTTGGGAGTCGTATCTTGAAAAAAAACTGGTAAGTTGACTCTGGTCAGTTGACAGTTGGACCCTGATTTTTTTTGCAATTCTTAGTGGAAACGAATCTTCCAAGCCCTTTTTCTGGCACTATGCTAATTTACTGGAGGCTACTCACCAATATCAAAGCTGATGCTATTCATATCCTGATAATCTATGGTAATTCGTCACCAATCATATCAATAGCTGGTGGTAATTTTACAGGTGATCTCCGGACCCCACCAGGGCACATCATGAAGCAAATGTGCAAATCGATTGTCGCCCTGGCGCCATCGCCTCGAGACCGGAGATTCACGAATTCACGAAAGTTCGCGATCCAAGAGCCGAACCTCCAAATGTGGATCTCCTAAAAATGGGGGATTCCCAAAAGCATAATTTGAATACTAAGTCATGGTCATCCATGACGACTGGATGATGCAAGGGGGTACCTCCATGACTTAGGAAACCTGGAGATGTAGCAATGTAGGAGTTCACATTGTTCACATTTGCAGATTCTTAAGGGTACCCCAAAACCAAGCAATTTCTTGGGTAGATGTTGGTGCAGTAAATATTCCAGCACCGTGGAGCACCTGGGCATGAAATTGAACATGGAATTCGACAAAATGCCAATTTCTCAGCTAGAACAACTTAACCCGCAACCTAGTGCTGCATGTCAGGCGGGTTTCCAACGGCGCTCAAATAAGAATTGCACATGATAAACCAGGACCGTGTGTTGATAAAGAGATGAGCAGCTGACGCCACATACTCCACTGGACTTGAGGGACCGGATGCACGGCAATGATCCAGGCGGTCCTGGTTTCAAGCAACATTTTCTTCTGTCCTAATTTCCCACAAGATACCCACCAGTAAATTAACAGTTCGACCCTGGCAGATAAGGGTTGGAAGATTAGTTTCCATTGAAAATTGGTGATTTTCAGGGTCTATGTTTATTTACCACAAGATAACAAGTAACCCCAAAGTAACACCAACCTTGAGGGGTCAAGAGAACCCCCCCTCAAAAAAAGAAACACATGATTCATGTTACCCTTGGCTCTGGATTATCACTATACAAACTGGTGAGTAAAATGGGTCACAAATGACTGTCCAGGCAAGATACAAACATGTCTACTTCAAGATATAGGTGGAGATGTTACCAGATAATACAAGCACACATCCCTAGTATGGCTCATGACAAAGCAAGAGGAATATCAGAGAAGACATACATAGTATCCGAAAATGTTTGTATCATTTCCCATTTCCAAAAATCACCACAACATGATATGGTTTTTTCCTCCACCAAGATACAAATATTCCGGAAAATCAATTTCGCCAGATCCATCTTTGTCGAGCTCCCGAAAGGCTTCTTCCAACTCCTGCGGGTCAAAGGTCACCTAAAGCCTGCACCGCCGGACACCATTTTTGGGTCGTAGGTAAGTACCATTTTTGGTAGAAAAAACATTACACACACTGGTATTGCGAGTCAAAACACCTGTATTGCGAGTTTTCAGACCCTTTAAGAAAGGGGTTGATGAAGGTCCAGGCACACGAAATCCAATTGAGAAAACAAAATACATCTTCTGTCTCATTGTATGTTTTAAAATAAAAGGCTAAACGGATACACAAACTTTCAGTGCAGAGGAGGTGTTTCCCACTTTTGTCTGGTAGTTTTCCGGGGAACAGGCACGGGATGTAAGTAATGATAAAAGAGAAAATGTCACTGGCTGAATAGGGCCTTAATTCTGATTTGTTCACCCCGGTGTTAAGAAGACTTCGGCCGAGCACATTGCAGTTGAAGTCCGGGAAGCTCCCAACAAAAAAGTATGCTCCAAGAGGAAAGTGCATGGCAATCTTTGGACAACTTGGTTCAAGGAAATGGCTCAAAACATCCCGCAAACCAAACAACATGTTTCTCTAATTTAGCTCACCTCATGCGAAATAATAATCACATCATCGGGTCTGCTTGTCAGGAAATAGAATTTATATATGAAGAGATCAGATCATCCACACTTATCCCATCATATCCAGTTCTATCCCCATGTTGTTTATAAACCCATCCAATCATGAACATATTGGATGTTTCAAAACACAACCACCTCAAATTTGCTGATCAGATAAACCATATAAACCCATATACCATCTGGTAAATTTAACATAGCCATGGGAAATCCCTTATAAATGGAGGTTTCTAGCTGGGAAAATCATCTATCTCAATGGGCCATCTATACCATGGCTATGTAACAAATAACCAGAGGGTAAATCCCATTAAAATCACCATTTTTGTTGGTTAAATCCCATTAAACCACCTCAAAATTTGCTGATAAACCATATTCACCAATATAAACCACCTCACACTTGCTGGTTTGTTCACCTCATTTCCCCTGTTAAAATAGCCACGCCACTTGGAGACTGCACCAGGTCCGTCGGTCCCCGTCGATCCCCGTCCTCCTCGCTCAGGCAGTAGCCTGCGTGGTAACCTGAGAGCAATGGGGAAGCGCCAAGGGGCCGTATTTAGTGAATGTATGATGTGTGATGTGTGTAGATGTATGCATAATACATATAAATAAATAAATATATATATATATATATATTGTAGAAATAATATATATATGGGTAAATTATAATAATTCACCAACCTGAATTAAGGCCATTTAGGGAGGATTTCCCTTATTAACCATGATTCCAATGAGGTCGCAGTGAGGTCGTTATAATTTACCCTTTTACTGCAAGCAGAGAGTCACAGCCCAGCTAAAGCGAAACTGCGCCCGAGTGGCAACAGACCGAGAACACCAACTCACTTGGCAAAAGAAGTGTGCGTGATCAAAGCCTGGTCACGCACACCTACACTTGACAAAGAAAGGCGCCCAATCAGGCACACATATTCCTATCTAGGTAAGACCGCTTTGCGCCTATGCGCAGCGTCGAAATGAAAATTTGTCAAAGCATCGCATGGTCAGCCTTTTGCAGGCCACGCACATCTCAGCGATTTTTCCTGAGAAAGCGGGTGCGCCACCCAGAAGTAGCCATTGGCTCAAATCTCTCAAGACCATTCGTTCACATGTCATTCTGCGTTGCCAAAAGCCATGCCATGTGCTCAAAGAAGTCCTTGGCAAGATGGCAGCACAAGCATCAGTCTGAATGTGATTTCACAAAAGACTAACCAGCCGGCAGCCATTGTCCAATTCACTTCAACGCCATGTGTCACACGCTCAAAGGTGGCAAAAAATACTTCGCAGTCTTGAAGGTCCCGCGACCTCCTTTCGGCCCTACAGCACTGCCAAGCTCCAAGCCCCCTTGTGGTAGCAACAGCACTCGTCCAAACTATGAGAGCAATCCCCCTCACAGTCAACAACTCCAGACACAGGGTGTCAGACCTATTGGAAAGTGCCACCTGGGCACCACCACTCTGGTGGCAGTTGATGGAAATCTTCTTGCCAGCACGGTCGGTAACTCGAATTTCTGGAAGACAAGCTAACGCCAGGTTTGGCTCCTCAGAAAATATTCCACTGGGACAGCTTGCGGACGATGTAGTCATCATAGATGTGAAGTGGCCAGCAAATGCCTGAATCCAGTGCCAAGGCCACCAAACAAAACAGTCACGGAAAGCTTTAGCAAACACAGGGTTGACGTCCAAATCTTGCATGACGACCATAGAGTTCTCGTCCTCAACAGCCACAAGTAGGGCAAATCTCGAAAGGAAAAGCATCATCAAGATGATAAGCTGTGAATGTGGCAGGCGCCCCAAGTGTTCTTACACAAAGAACGCACACGGGCATTGCGTCACAGCACCGATGATGGCATGGCACAATTCGCAGGTCCGACAGAGGACCTGACAAGACCGCCGCGGGAAGGCTTGTGCCTAGATCTTCGTTATAATTTACCCATATATATATATATATATGTATCTAAAATATAAATATCTGTAGTTTCAAGATGTTTCACTACTCTGATTGGCTTATTTTTTGTCTCTTCAAATCCTTCTGTCTAAGCATGTATAATACTGTATAGATGTATATATGATTTTATATACATACAACAAATACTAATTATACGTAAAGCAATGTAATATAGTTGGCAATACATCTAGCATACATGCATATATATATATATATATCAGGCAATGCAATATTGTAGCTACACATCTGGCAGCCAGTTGGGACCCTTCTCCGTTGCTGCGCTCTTTGCATTTCGCTGACCAGGGAACACTTCAGCTGGAAATCGTCGCGGGTCATGCGAGTGCATCCACCAGTGCCTTGAGTGAAGATTGGCCCTGAAACGAGGGCAAAACAGTCGGTTTCTGTGTACAATTCCAATAGGTATAATGTCAATCCTAGATTAATAAACCCCAAACGGCTGTTTAGTTGGGAGGGTACCATTTATGTACTATATTGTATAGGAAATTGGATGAGAATGTTGTACTCATATTGTTTATATTGTAGGATGAGTTGGAAATGGTATATTTATTGGAATTAGAGGGATTGATGGGATTGTTAGTGGAGTTGGAGGGTACCCCCTAATTAACAAACCATGGTTTATTAATCCGGGGTTGACATTATAGGGTTTATGATAGATATGTTGATGTAGAAACCAACGTTTCCCCACACAACTGTCCCCCGAAAACGACCATCTTCTCATAGGAGGTAAGGGTCAATTTGTTTCCGTGACCTCAAACCAGGGGATATGAAGATACTTGTACAAACAAAAAATAATTTCGGATATTCACGAAGGGTAAAACTGATATAACCAACAGAATTGGGATACGACCGGATGTTAGGACCATAGTTCAAAAGTTCTGACTAAGGTTATCGTTCAGGATGCGTTACCATAATTGACTAAACACACCACATTGAAAATGCAACAAATAACAACATTGATATCGTCAACAGCAAATATCTTCAACATAAGCATGCCACTGTCACAAATTACACAAATTCGATTCATCACTACCCAGACCCGCCATGAAAGTACCCTTAAACATTGCCAATACCACTGTGTTTAACATTATTTTAGACCATATCCTGGTGACTTTTAGCATTTTATTTGGGGCACAAAGGGTCTAGGTATAACCATCCAATGTGACGTCCAGGCCTTGGAAGAAAGACTTCTTGGCACGTTGCACCATTTCTTTCCTGGGTGAAAGGCCAAATTTCGACCTGAACAACCTGAACTGGAGGCTTTTGGACCCAGATATGCCTCAGATATGTCAATGCTTGTAAGCCGATAACAATATAAATTAATATAATTCATATACACACACACATTGGGTACTGGGTCAGGATGTTTGTATATCATCGAATGAAGTTTAGAAGTCAAACTTCCGACAATATGGACAGATGGAAAAGCAGAGGTGGGAAGAGTCAGGGAGGAGAAGAGCCGAAGAGAGAAGATCAGAGAAGAGTAAGAGTGAGAAGAAAGAAGAAGCAGCTGTGCGAAAAGGTAGGAAAGTCGCTAAACACTGTGTTTTTCCAATGGTTTGTGGCTCCGGAGGGTCGAAAAGTAGGCTCGCTAAAGCGGCGGGTGCGGAGCCATGTGGTCAGATGAGAGATGAAAAGTTGCACGCCGTTGTGGCCCGAAGCACATTTCCAAGTCAAAATGTACAAAACACACCAACGCCGGACGACTTTGGAAGTTGAGATGTCGAAAAAGTGCACCCTTGTGGCGTGAAGCACATTTCCAAGTCAAAAGTTTAAAAAACTGACGGTCTCGGACACTTTTGGAAGTTGACATGTCGAAAAAGTGCACCCTTGTGGCGCGAAGCACATTTCCAAGTCAAAAGTTTAAAAAAACTGACGATCTCGGACCACTTTTGGAAGTTGACATGTCGAAAAAGTGCACGCCATTGTGGCGCGAAGCACATTTCGAAGTCAAAATGTACAAGACACACCACGTTCAGAGCACTTTTGGAAGTTGAGATGTCGAAAAAGTGCAGGCCGTTGTAGCGCGAAGCACATTGCGAAGTCAAAATGTACAAAACACCTCAGCCTAGAAGCACTTTTGGGAGTTGAGAAGTTGTCAAAGTGCACGCCGTTGTGGCGCGAAGCACATTTCCAAGTCAACATGTTAAAAACATTTAAAAATATTTAAGAACACCACATGCTCGGACCACTTTTGGACGTCCAGATGTGGTTTTGCGTAGCAGGCGCAAGGGATTCTGCACCTCCAAAACGTGAGGGTTGTGTAGCATTTCCAAAAACTATGGTAGGCGTGGGGCATTTGCAGACGATCTGCAAAGATGCATTTTGCGTGGCAGGCGCAGTACAAGAGACATGTTCATCAGAGATGTTAGGAGGTCGCTGATTTCCTGAGGGGTTGCATTTTGGAGCATCAGATCTTCAGCTTTGCTGAGATGACTTTGCGTGATAGGTGCAGAACTTCGTATGACCTGGCACCAATTTTTCGTGGCAGGCGCAATACGTTAGATATGTCGTCCGGAAAAAAAAATCAAAAGACATTGGTACGAGGCCGTCAGCTCTGCACTCAACTTTCCATTTTTGAAGGACGTCTCGCAGAATTGCTTCATTTTTGCTGCTGTCAACTTCGAAAATTGAGGAAGTCTCGAGGAATAGCTTCGTTTTTGACGTTGCCCCGTGCAAAACTTGAGGACGTCTCGCAGAATTGCTTTGTTTTGATGTTGTCAAGTTCAAAAATTGAGGAAGTCTCGTAGAATAGCTTCATTTTCGAACTTGCAGATAGATAGATAGATAGAAAGACAGATAGAAAGATAGATAGACAAAACAGAAAGACAGAAAGACAAATAGGTAAACATATATACTAAAAATATATATATATATATAGATATATAGATAGACAGCTAGAAAGACAACTGCAACTGCACTACACCACACTACAACTACAACCTCAACTACAACTTCAACTACCACTACAACTACAACTTCAACTACACTTCACCTACACTTCAACTACAAGTACAAGTGCCACTACAACTACAACTGCAACAAACACTGCAACTACACTACAACTGCAACTACAGCTACAACTACAACTTCAGCTACACTACAACTACACTTCAACTACACTACAACTTCAACTACACTACTACAACAACAATTACCACGACATTTTGCTACTACTACTACTACTACTACTACTGCTACTTCTTACTACTACTACTACTACCACTACTACTACTACTGCTACTACTACTGCTACTACTACTACTACTATTACTACTACTACTACTACTACTACTACTACTACACTACTCCTACACTACAACTACAGATACAACTACAACTGCAACTCCTACAGCTATTGCAACTTTTGCAACTACAACTTCAACTACACTACAACTACAACTAAGCTACAACTACAACCACAACTACAACATTACAACTTCAACAACATCAACCTCACTACGACTACAGCAACTACAACTACAACTACAACTACTGCACTACACCACTACATCCAGGAGTTGTGAGTGAGGTGACCACTGCAGCCATTGCAACCTCTTAAAAAAAAAACAACTCCAAGCACCTTTCGGTCCATCAGTGGATTCGCTCTGCCATCCATGCATCGCAACAACTCACCTCTCCTATAGTGTCCTATCCTTGAATTTTGAAACTTTTGCCACCGCCTTGCGCGGTACTACTGGTATATATATATAATTATACATATATATATATATACATATACAGGGTACTGAACTGTTTTTTTTGGGTGTTTATCGGGACAATGTGGGCAACCCAATGCCATAAACCTACCATTTGTGGATGGTTTGAATCCCAAAATGGTGATGACTTGGGGATGGTCTATGGCCTTGGGTTTACCACATTGTATAACCTATTACACCCAAGCCTGACCTACAGCCATGAAAAAACACGGTTCCAGTTTCAATCTTACCCGGTCTTACCCACCATCGCTTGAAGAAGGTCGGCTATACGATTAGCAAAAAGTACCATGACTCCACGCCATATTGAAGCAGCATCCAGGTGGTGGAGTCTGTCCATTGAAAGCTTTGGTCCCTGCCAGGTAAAGTGTTTGAGAAACATATCTACAAGCCGACAAAATGGCATGTTTTTTGTTAGTACATGTTTTTCAGTCGCAATATATTTAAGAACAATTATTGCATACGAAGCTTGCAGCTTGCATCAGCAAGTCTTGCATCATAAATAGAGAAATGGAAGGATTCAAGTTCTTGACTCATTTGCTTGACTCTCCAAAGGTTTGCTCCTGACATGCACACGATGAAGTATAAATCATATCATCCTGTATGCAACATGAGCAACTTCCTCATGGGAGTTCATCATGCCCCATCATTCTCCCGTCATTATTTCCACATGTTGCTTGGTTATATCCCATCATATCCACAAATGTCATGGTTTACCCATTCTTCTCCCGCAACATAAATCCTCCAAAAGACTTTTCCCTAGGAATCTGGGCCGATACCAAAAATCTTTTTCCAACGTTATTCACCATAAAATTGGCCCAGGGACTCTTCTTCGGAACGGAAGCGCAGGCCGGTCTGCCGGTCGTCTTGCGTCTTCCACCAGTCCAGGAATTCGGGATACCTGGGATCTCGGCGGACGGAAGTCGTCATGACCCTGCGAAGATGGAAAGCATGGAAAGCATGGCTGGATTCATAGCAATGATAGTCATATGATGGAAATGAATGATAGACGATATCTAGATACGTTAGAAATATGTGATAAATTTATGATTTCATCATATTATATTCACTTATAACTGGATGTGCGCACCCTGTTTAGTACTGCGAGTTGACTAATGGTGATTGAACTGCCACACATAATCACACATATATAGAAGAAATGTTGTATTGTAACAAATGTACCAACATGTAAAGCCATGATACAAATGTATTATATGATACAGTTTTCCCATAAACTTGCTGGTGATGTTTTGCCGCCTGGGAGCTAATCTGCAGACGGGACAACAATACACTATGAAACATCCATGGATTTTTGATGATTTTTGTTTGGACTACTGTCTGGAACAATGACCCAGGATAACCATATCCAGTAAATCTACCCTCTGGTTATTTAACGTAGCTATGGGAAATCACCATTTTTAATAGGTAAATCATCATAAACCATCCATAAAGGGGCCATTTTCCATAGCTACGTTAAATAACCAAAGGATAATTTGATCTTCCTTATCAGGGAATATCAATCTTTCTTCCATGGTGGATTCTCCCATGTTTTTCTATCGGAAGAGTACATATCAAGATACTCACCATGGGAACTTCTTAGTCTCATTATATACAGAGGCTCCATTACCACGGGGAAACCCTGGATTTATTTCAACCCTGAACATCCCTTACAGTACCCTCTGGTAGTCAAACATGGCAATGGACATGTCCCAAATTATAGTTGTACAGTTATACAATGTTATACATATGATTGTACATCAAAACCTCCATTTATAGGGCATGTTCCAACTGCCAAGCTTGACTACCAGAGGATACCAGAGGATAGTACTGTTGAAACCAGTGGGTCCATCACCTTTGGGACCCCTGTATCCCTTGTCACTTGACACGATGGTTGTTGCGTTTCACCATGCGTTCCATCGCTTCATCCACTCATCTCAGGGCTAAGTTTGACCTGGTCAACCATGAGGTGTCTTCCGAGGATTCTATGAATTGCGGGAAAGGGTTAGACCATTTTAGACCTCTGACCTCCAAAAACACTCTGAGAATCTAACCTGGCAAAGCAGATTTCCATACATTTCCTCGTTTGATAAATTATTGTCCCGATTGTCCCGTGAAAAATATCCCTTCCGTACCTGCATCTCTGAAAGGTTTCCGTTCCGCATCGCGCTGAGCCACTGAATGCCCTTGGATTTTCCTGACATCCGAACAAAGGCTGCGCCCAATTCCTGCCGGTGAAAACCGTCTTGAAAATGATCCGTTGAATGCTGGGGGAATATATGGTAATGTAGATTGATTTAATCTGGTTGGTGGTTTCAACCCCTCTGAAAAAAATATGAGTTCGTCAGTTGGGATTATGAAATTCCCAAAAAATGTAAAGTCATCAAATTCCATGGTTCCAGTCACCACCAACCAGTGATTATTTACCATCATTAACCATCATTACCGCATACGAAACCAGTTGTTCCGAACCATCAACCAGTAATAGAATATTCACAGGAAATAATGGGTTCCCTGCAGAATGTTCCCCTGGTGATGGTTGAACAATGATGGTTGTGCTGGCCATGGGCCATATCTCCAGGTGGGCCAAAAAAACACCCCCATGACGCCCAATGTGTTCAATAATTCCCCAAACAACATGATGAATCTGAACTCATCATGCCGGCCATACACTATCCACATGTCGGATTTTTTGTTGTTTTATGATTCAATATTCTGATCTCCTGCAATATGGTGATCTTTTCGCAAAAACGGAAAATCGATGAATGGAATACGAATAGTGCTGACATGCGAAGTCCTGCCTTCATTTGTTTGCTCAAATCGTCTCAACCACATCCCATATTGCTGTGCAATGTATGAGTTTAATTCATTTTGTATCACAAGTGGGTACCCCTAATAACCCATGACTGATCATCATTTTCCTAGTTCAAGGGTACAGAATGGTACAGATCTTTGGACAAACCTACATAGATCTCATATTGTTCTTTTCCGGTGGTATGGCGATAGAACCCATGATATCCCGCTAAGATCTTTGCTGGTTAAATCCCCCTTGTTGGTTATAGTCACCATTTCAGTGTCAAAACATCAACCTTTTGGCTAGTTGAGAAAAAACACACTCGTAATACAAGGTTCTGTTCCCAAAAGTTGGCCAAGACGATAATCATAGTGGGGTAACCAGAATATTATGCAAGATATATCTATGCTATGCTATGGGCTTATTAACCAACAAAATGTAACGTTAAAGGGGGGCCACCTTCCCACCACGTCCTCTTCTTCGATGCCGCCAAAGCCTAGCCCAGCGGAGATGTCAGCCACATCAATCCCTATGTATTGTGGATGTGGCTCTGTCGCCAAAGGGTGAAGCAATTTGAGATCAATAATGTCTTTTTGGTAGAAATAGAGTGGCCGGGAGCTGGTTAATCCCATCTATCATCATAGAAACCTGTTGTTAAAGGGGTAAACCTGAAGAAACCCTCTTTTTTCATCAACCAACCAATGGGAAAAGGACATCTATGAATTTGAGATCAATTCTTCTTAAAGTGGTCATGTCTTTTTAGATCACTTTCTTGCACGTGTGTCAAGCAGTCTTCCCCCCGCACCGAACTCACTGGGATTGGAAAACGTGCTTTGGAGATAACTCAACTTTTCAAACAGCTAAGGCTCCAAAATTCAAATCGTTTATTTAAAAAATAACTTTTTAAAACAACACCAACAACATGTGTCTCCCTCAGGTGCAATTTCCCATGCTCAGTCCCATGAAATCATCATTCTTTTGCTGGTGAAATCCCCTTAAACCGCCTTAAACCCAATTTTTCGATGGTTCCATCGTTAAATATTGGTTGGTGGTTTCAATCCGTCTGAAAAATGATGGAGTTCGTCAGTTGGGATGATTATTGCGTTCCCAACTGAATGGAAAGTCATAATCCATTCCATGGTTCCAAACCACCAACCAGAAGAAATCCGTCTCAGCCAGCATCTATCCCAGCATCTATCCCACCTCGCCCCGCCCCGCCTTTGTCCTCGCACAGGTACTGAAACTGCTCAAAGGACATGCTCCCATCACAGCTGTACCTGGAAGGCTGGGGGAAAAGAAGCCTCCTGTGGTATAGCTAAGGCCCATTGAGCGAATGATTTATGATGTTTGACCTATTCAAAACTGTGATTTTCCACAGCTACGTTAAATTGCCAGAGGGTGCGTGTGTGCATGTGTATGTATATATATATATATGTGTGTGGATAATGTACAATGTAATGTATTTACATTGGTATATACCATCTACATTGTAGGTCTATAGATATGACGGATCAAAATACATGTTGTACATGTAATGTATACTAATACAGTACAGTAAACAGTATACATTACATGTTACATGTAGACCCTTTAAGGAAACCATACAGGAAATCGACCTCTTTTCGGCTTGGCTTGGAGTCCCGGCGCAAGCCGCAAATATATGTGGCTTTAGAATCCATAAACATGAAATGCCCAGGTTATTATTATAGGTATTTATAGTAATATTATAGTTATATTAAAGAGATTCATTATAAACCTAACTGGTTATCATTATACTATACCATTTATAGTTGTATTGTATTGTATAGTATCATGTTATATCTCCCCAACCACGAGAATTCACCAAGTTATGAGCGGCTAACGCTATCGTTAGCTATTGTTTAGGGGCCGCATCTAAGGGTCGGCGACCAAGCTGGAGGCCAAGTCTCAGGAAAAGGCCCAGAATACAACAAGGATAGGCAAGCTGCATGCTGATGAAAAAGAAGGTATACCTATAGACACTCCGTTTGTATCCTGAAAAATTGTTATACTTAGCCAATTGTCTGGTGATTTAACAGTTTGCTCTAGTATAGATGGCCCATTGTTCGGAGATTTACGATGATTTACTTATTGAAAATGGTGCTTTTCTATAGCTACATAAATCCGATCACGGGAATCATATCCAGTATCATATCCACAGTTGTTGCTCAATGCTCCAACTTGAATTCCAACATTCATAGCTGGTCTGTGCTGGTCTCACATCACCCTCAAAGAATAGTGGTTCCCAGTTTTATTTTGGCAAATAATCCTACATCACATCATATCACATGAAACTTTTTGTAGTGGGATCTTAACAAATACTGATACTTCTTCATCCAAATGTCAATGACTTGGATTAAGGGAATATCCATAGAAAACTGAAAACCATGCCACGTCTTTTACTTCTAGATTCGTGTAAACGTTCCCATATGTGCCCATCATCAACTTCAATTCTGGCAAAATGGCAAAACAAAAATCACATAAAATCACCCATTCACCTGGGTAAAAGATAATAATATTATACAATATTCAGGTGTGTTATTGGTAAATTATAAACCCCCTGGGTAAATGATCATATTTCACTGAATAGTCCAGCCATTTCAGGATCCAAGATTCACAGTACCAACACGCGGATCAGCCTGGAATCACATCCAAGTTGCTGATCGAAGATGATCTGACTCAGAGACGCGGTTTTCCCTTGTTTCGTATTGAAATTCATGGCGCTGGCCGACGAACCCGGGAGCTTCTACGGAATCTGGATAAACTATCAGGGCTTTTTGAACCGTGGTCATCTTCAGTGCCAAACCATCCATGTTTGCCAACGGTTTGACCTGTGTGTCTGTGGAAGTACCTGAACTTTGCAGCCGCTTCACGATGAAGCCAAATGACTTACAGTACATAGCAGTGATCATTAGTCGAGATAGTCCACCAACCAGGGATAACGTTGGGACATATGGGGAATTTCTGATTGCATCCTATTGACCATTGTCACGCAACTTCGAGAAACGCCCATCTGCTGCGGCTTGTTTGTGTTGGGATTCTCTGCGCAGGGTGATATTTATGTATCGTATACAAGGAACCAGAAAGTATCACAATCAACCAAAAATTCCAACAAAATCAACTTCAGTTGCTCACGTGTTGAAAATATTTTGAGATCAAAGCCTCTGCGCCACATTTTTTGTCACCCCTTCCTCTCTACATTTTGAGCAACATGCGGCAGAAACCACCTTTGGACATGGAGATCGTCATCAAATTGCCCAGATTTCATCGTTTGGGGCGCGGCTTCCATCCCCCAATGTTGGATTCATACCCCATACCTGGCATTTCTGTAGGGAAAAACTGAATCCTCACAACATGAATCACACCCAGTCGTCATGTGGCCATGGTATCCATGATGCAAAAATGGGTGACCCCAACATCTCAATGGTTGGGTTCCCTCGCCAATAATGGATATCCTGCAAAATAAATCTGGAGCTAGCGAATTTTACATATTATAGTCCCATCAAAAAATAACCACATATTTATTTGTACTATGTTGTATGCTAGAATACCCTTCACCACTTTGTTCAATTTTCACTGGTAAAATCTTGGAACAGGAACCGCCCAAATTTGTTGGTTCCTAAAAAACCCGCACTGTTTTATTACCCAGTTGATTTCCCCATATTTGGGGTCAACCAAAAAAAATCACCTTTTCCGGTAGGTTCAAACTCCCCGATTTTCGCTGCTCTTCAGCCCCTAGTAGAACTCTGGACGCGCCTCGCCGCGGACTCGTCTCCGACATGTTGCTCATGCCGGGCCTCAGGGATGACAAAGGCTGTGAGTCCGATCACAGCACTGGTGGCTTCTGTCAAAACCATCGGAACAGTATGAAAATCCTGATCATCGTTCCAAATATGTTTTTTTAGCGTCAAAAGACATGTGAAACATTCCATCATTGGCTATATATCCATCATCAATTATTGGCTATATATACATCATCATTGGCTATATTATGAAACCAACCAAATCATCAGCATTGGCTATATATCATATCCCCGAGATATCCCTCCAATAAATCCCTTTGATTCGTCAAAGAATCAACCACTCTTCAAGGGAAAAGAGCGACAAAGGAGGCCTCGATACATTAAAGTTTCTATGTGGAGGTATAGTCCATGTTCAAACAGATCATATTCCTATATATGGTGTTCCAAAAAAAATCAAATAGGCTACGTTCAAACAGGTCATATCAGATCATATTCCATACCCTCCATGCCAGCAAATAGGTTATGTTAACTTCTCCTATTTTGCTGCTTGTATCCCCATTCTGTACACCGTGTTGTTGCTGGCTGCATCCCCATGATATCCCCATTTGATACCCTACATGATGAGTATATATATTATATACTGAGTACTGATGAGTTAGGTCTTGTGGCCTCGATGGGAGAAGACTTGCTAGGGTCTAGTCCAATCTCTTGTGTCCACTGTTTGAAGCCCTTATGGGGAATGGGCTAGAATAGCCACATGCGTTAGGAGTTTTGGTACCTGGGATTTGCCAAAACTCCCAACTCATGTGCGCTGAACCCGCTTTGAGACCTGAATGCAAGTCTGAAAAAACACCTTGATAAATGATCGGGGCTTCATGTTTTGTGACAGCAGCAAAGGCTGATGAGATAGGAAATTACAATGGTTCTAGAAATTACTTTACTTCGTGTGATCCCCACCATGACATTTATACATTTTCTTACTGGCAAATCTTCTGGCATTCTATCTGACATATCTTTTGGCATTCTATCTGGCATATCTTCTGGCATATGTTCTCGCATATCTTCTGGCATTCTATCTGGCAAATCTTCTGGCATATCTTCTGGCATTCTATCTGACATTGCATCTGGCATATTTTCTGGCATTCTATCTGGCATATCTTCTGGCATATATTATGACATATCTTCTGGCATTCTATCTGGCATTCTATCTAGCATATCTTCCGGCATATGTTCTGGCATATCTTCTGGCATTCTATCTGGTATATCTTCTGGCATTCTATCTGGCATATCTTCTGGCATATTATCTGGCAAATCTTCTGGCATTCTATCTTCTAACTTTCTTCTGCACATTCTTTGTCCCATATCTTCCTACATGAGGTCCGGCAGGGAACACTTGGCGTGGATACTCGCAGATGAGGTCCGGCAGGGAACACTGGGCGTGGCTGGTCGTGGTTGAGGTCCGGCAGGGAACACTGGGCGTGGATGGTCGTGGTTGAGGTCCGGCAGGGAACACTGGGCGTGGATGGTCGTGGTTGAGGTCCGACAGAGAACACTGTGGATCGCGGGTCGCAGTTGGACGAGGAGGACGACGAGGAGGACGACGAGGAGGACGACGAGGAGGACGACGAGGAGGACGAGGAGGAGAGGAGGAGGAGGAGGAGGACGAGGCAGGAGGAGGCAACTGACATAAAATCTAACAACCCTCACCTGGCAGGTGGGGAAAAACAAATCCTATCTCACATGCGTTCAGTGGCCCATCTTTTTGCCTAGTTGCACCCATGTGCCATTAGATTTCCCGGGTCAACCCCCACAAGTCCTATCTCACCTGCTTTTAGTGGTCAAGGTTTTTCCCTTGCTGCACCCATGTGCCATTAGATTTCCCAGGTCAAATTGTCAAATCCCCACAAGTCCTATCTCATCTGCTTTTAGTGGTCAATAGTTTTCCCTTGCTGCACCCATGTGTTATGTGAACATACCCCAAATCAGCCCTAACTCCTATCTCATGTGTCCAAACTGTAGCCTATAGCATTAAAAAACCATAAGCCGTGGGAATGCAAAAACTTGATAAAGGTATCCTTCAAATGACTAATAGAACCACATGAGATAGGAGTTTGGCACCTTCAAAGGGCAAAAACAACACTTTACTCATGAGATGGGAAATCAAAAAAACTGGACCCTCCGACAACTCCTATCTCACCTGTACTGAGTATATATATATATATCCATAATAAAAGTAATAACGATAATAAAAAAAACGAATCATAGTCATCATGAAAAAATGTAACAATAATAAGCACAAAAAACAACATATAATTACTTTACTTCGTGTGATCCCCACCATGACATTTATACATTTTCTTACTGGCAAATCTTCTGGCATTCTATCTGACATATCTTCTGACATTCTATTTGGCATTCTATCTGGCATATCTTCTGGCATTCTATCTGGCAAATCTTCTGGCATTCTATTTGGCATTCTATCTGACATATCTTCTGACATTCTATTTGGCATATCTTCTGGCATATCTTCTGGCATTCTATCTGACATATCTTCTGACATTCTATTTGGCATTCTATCTGGCATATCTTCTGGCATATCTTCTGGCATATCTTCTGGCATTCTATCTGGCAAATCTTCTGGCATTCTATCTGGCATTCTATCTGGCATATCTTCTGGCATTCTATATGGCAGATCTTCTGGCATTATATCTGGCATATCTTCTGGCATCCTATCTGGCAAATCTTCTGGCATTCTATCTCATATCTTCTGGCATGGCATTCTTCTGGCATTCTATCTGACATATCTTCTGGCATTCTATCTGGCATTCTATCTGGCATCTATTTGGCATTCTATCTCATATCTTGGCATATCTTCTGACATTCTTTCTGACATTCTTTCTAACTTTCTTCTGCACATTCTTTGTCCCATATCTTCCTACATGAGATCCGGCAGGGAACACTTGGCGTGGATACTCGCGGTTGAGGTCCGGCAGGGAACACTGGGCGTGGATGGTCCTGGTTGAGGTCCGGCAGGGAACACTGGGCGGGGATGGTCGTGGTTGAGGTCCGGCAGGGAACACTGGGCGTGGATGGTCGTGGTTGAGGTCCGGCAGGGAACACTGGACGTGGATGGTCGTGGTTGAGGTCCGACAGAGAACACTGTGGATCGCGAGTCGCAATTGAGCAGGAGGACGAGGAGGAGGAGGAGAGGAGGAGGAGGAGGAGAAGGAGGAGAAGGAGGAGGAGGAGGAGGCAACTGACATAAAATCTAACAACCCTCACCTGGCAGGTGGGGAATAATAATAAATATATATAAAAATAATAATAATAATGAAATAATAATAATCATAATCATAATAATAGTAATACGAATACTACTAATATTTCTACGTATTTCCACCATGTGTAGCAACATAAGAAAGTACTAACATCACCATCCATTTGGTTGACCGAGAATGAATCCCAGTATTGTATCCATTAAATTGTTGATTTTATACCCTAAATTGCGCTAGTTAAATGCCCTTTTAATAACAATTACAGCCATGATATGATCACTATCCAGCTCTTGAACTTGGAGCCAGTATGTGCAACCATTGTATAGCCATCAAGTACATGTTTATGTTCACACGAGACCTCATTGATCATGCATTGATCATCCATTGATCCTCCATGAAATTCTATTAACTGGCTGGTGGTTTTAACCATCTTGAAAAATATGAGTTCGTCAATGGGAAGGAGTATCCCATATATGAAATGGAAAATAACAAAAACATGTTTGAAACCACCAACCAGATTGAAGTCCCGTATGGTTATCAAATTAACACATATCCCATATCGTATTCCCATTCCATCCCTATTTTACCAACATTTTCTTGGTGAAATCCCCATCCAAAAACCGATGATGGTTGGAAATCAACGTGATTCAAATAGCCATGATGGCATTGATATCCTCAAAATAATCAATTTAATCTGGGTA